CGCGCCAGCAGCCATGGGGTTAACGGGAGGCAGCGAGCGAGGGAGACGAGACGGGGAGAGAGGAAGAGGGGCTGGACCAGTCCTCGGCAGCTGTTTATTTCAAGGCATCTCTCTCTCTCTCCCTCAGCCAGGGCTCAGCCTCATCGAGCCTTCCTCCTCCTTCTCCTTCTCCTCCTCCTCCTCCTCCTCCTTCTCCTCCTCTCCTTCTTTCGTCCTGGCCATGAGAAGCACCGTTGGCGGCGGCTCCGCTGCCCCAGCCCCGCTTCCCGCCGCCCCGGCTCTGCCCCACTCATCTCCCCGCAAGGTAAGTTCAGCCTCTCGCCCCGGGCTCGGCGCCGCCGCAGGGATGGGGCTGCAGGGGCGAGGAGCAGGGAGGGACGCGTGCCCATCTACAAGTCATCTCTCCCCGTCTCCTTCCCTGTGTCCTTTCTGCCCCTTTTTCTTTGCCCTCCCTGTGTGGGYGCTCGGCTCTCCCTCTAGCAGGCTGCCTCCTTCCTCCCGACCCTCTCCTCCTCCTCCACTCTGGGGCAGGGCATCCCGGGGGGCTGCCCGGGAGGCGCATCCCAGACACTGCTGCCTCTTGCCCCCCAGCTCCYGGCTCCATCACAGACCTGTTGTGCTGGAGCCCTGGAGCCTGGGCTGAGCAAGGCGACTTCAGCCAAATTGGCGCAGCTGGAGGAAGGAAACGGAAGGGTCAGTCCCTCCTCCTGCCTGGCCAAGGGTGCACCACGCAATGGAGAGCCGTTCGGATGTGAGGATTTAGCACCTCACTGAAGGTGCTTGGATGCCTAGGAACAGTAGGAAGCACTTGGATGCCCAGGATCAGTAGGACACTGAGAGACAGAAGATGGGCAGGCTCGTGCCCTGTGCTGCAGGCGGGCGCTAGATGGCAGGGGACCCCAGAGCGTGGGCTGGAAGGGGGTCACACAGTCCCCCGGTGCAGGGAGACATTTGCTCCAAGCACTGATGGTGGGGCTTGCACACCCATGCCCTGGAAACGTCCGCATCTGTGGATACCATCGGCCTTCCAGCCTTGGATCATGCCCCCAAGCCCTAGCCTAGGATTTCCATACCCCGCTCATAAGCACTTGCCCTGGCGGCCTGGCACAGGAATTCCCGTTGAGCGTCGCCGAACACGGCAAGGTCTGCAGCCTCCCTCAGGGGTCCTGACGATCCCCTTGGGCCTCGGCACCAGCCTTCATGGGCTTGGGCACCAAGAAGGGCAGCGGGAGCTGAGCCAAATCCAGCCCCAAATCCAGACTGCCAAATCCAGCCCCAAATGTCAGCATTTGCACTCAGGCTCCCAGCTTTCCAGCCTCACCGGAGGGCAGCGGACTTGCCTCCCAGAGGCAACTGCTCTGGGATTCTCCGCTTCCCTCCCGTCCCCGATACAGCAAGACGTATAACCCCTTTCCACCAGCGCTGAGATTCGTGCTTCCTGCTACAAAACCTGGAATGACAGCATCTCTGCACCCTGGGCCACCAACTCCAGGATGTCCTGGCGGCCAAGGAAAAGATAGGCAGGGGATGCTGCTCCGAGACGTCCGCCAGTGCTTGTGGGTCTCACTGCCAGTGCCTGAGCTCAGTGCACTCAGTGCTTGGAGATAACTGCTAGGTTTCATGGTCCTGGATGATAATCTCATGTCGATGGCTGTCACCAAAGCCCCTAACGCTGGCAGGGAGTTAAAAATGTCAGCCAATCTAACGCGCTCTTTCTGTGAGGAAGGGTACATCCTCCTCCTCGGGTTTGTTTTGATTTTTTATTACTATTTCGAGTGGGATCGGTGCTGTGGGGGAGCTAGGCAAAGGAAGGATTTGCATGAAGCTCGGTGCTGCRGGGTTGCTAATGGCGAACGCTATTTCAGCTGGCAGTAAGTTTCGTAATCTTGGCCCAGCTCCGGTGAATGTTCTGTTCCTCAGGTCATAAGGCTCTTTCCCCTTCTTTCATCCCTTCCCCCCCTCCCCAAACTGGTTGGCAATTTCATTGTTCCCCTGGAACGTATCTGTCATGTGAGGTCATCGCTGCATAGGGAGAGGTGATTGATCGCTTGGGTCACGGGGGCCCGTCCCATGCTGGGCTCCGAATCCTGGGTTGGAGACCTTGAGCCGCACTCCGTGCTCAAAGGAGAGAGCCAAGGTGGGGTGCAGAGAAGCCCCGTGATGCGTTCGCGGCAGATTGAGGCGGTGAGCAAACAGACTGCTGCATTCAGAACTAGCTGGAGCGCTCTGAGAGCAGACGGCTTCATTCCTAGAGGCACAGCATCGCAGCAGCCGAGCCCGAGATGTTACGAAAATACAGATAGATCGTCATCTGCAAGGCGAGTCAGAGGGAATCGGGTGCGACTCGCTTCTCATCCCCAGATGGAAGGAGACTGCCCGCTTCTCGCTAACACGTCTTGTGTGCGCTCGCCTTCTTCCAATTGCTCCTCAGTTAGCGGCTGATCTCTGCTAGCCATCAAGGAAGCTGTGAGATGCTCGGATTTTAAGGCCAGAGGGACCATTTTGATCATCTAGTCTGACCTACAGCATAACACAGGCCAGAGAATTTCACCAATTTCATTTCCTGCGCCAAGCCCATAACTTGTGATTGAATGATCGCATGTCTTTTTAGAAATACAGCCATATAAAGGCTTCAGGCAGCAGGGAATACACCTCCCTAGGTAAATTGCTCTAGTGTGTGACCCTCTTTATTAATAGGATTGTTCCTCATTTGAATTTGTCAAACTTCAGCATTTTGTAACAGAAGGTTACAGATTGCATTTGATGTGAGGGAGCTACAGAGCTGGTATCACCTGCGTGTGGCTGGCAGCTCAGCTCTTTTATTCTCATGATAGCTTTTATTCGGAATAGAATTGATCTTTGGGACCGCAGTGCATGAGTCCTGGGCATGGAGAAGGAGCCGTCCACAGTGGATCTTAGGACCTCACCAGAGAGTGGTAGAATCTGAGCTCTGTTGCTCTGGGTGCCACATTCATGGGCTGGTCTGTGCTCTCTACTCGGACCGGGAATGCAGCAGGCTTTGCTCCCTGGCGTTAGGTACAAAGTCCCCGTGGTACACCAGGACACACGTTTTGGGGCACAGCTACCAAGATCTGCTCTCCTAGGTCCCAGCAGCAGTAGTTCTGGGCTGTGGGAGATTTACAAAGAGGGAGGGAGCACAACTGGATCACTGCTATTTGGGAATAGCAAACAGATTTGTTCTTCCACCCTGCAAATGCAGTGAGAGCAGTTCCTAAGAGATTAGCCCCAGGGATCTCTACTCTGGATCTATAGTGGGGGTCCACATATGATAGCAAAGAGCAGTGAAATTCCTACTCCTGGCTTCCAAGCACCAAGATTCATCAGCTGAGCTTAGTGAAGAGCCCTGGGGAAATAGCTTTGTCATTCACACTCTCTCATCTGTGCCTAACAGGTCASCAGAATACTTGTGGTGAAGGCCCTGTATCTGGAGTGAAAATACACATATCTGTGTTTGGACCCTGGGAGCAGTCCTGTCCATTCCTATCATAGCTAGCCCTGSGAAACAGATCTGAAAGCAAGAGCCATGCTTCGTGGTGCTGGTGCAGAAATCTGTTCTCTGCTCCTGCACAAAAAGGCCTCTGAAATACGGGTACAAAGATATCAGGGTTTATATCGCCAGGTCAAAAGGGCATTTGAGTCCCCTCATCCTCTCCRGGAGTCTACTGTTTTGTTCAGTATCGCTATACAAGGCTGAATCAAGGGCATTCGTTATACCTGCCCTCAAATGCAGCAGGATCTGTGCCCATTCCAGCTGCTGGAGTGTAACTGCAGGGTGCCCCAAGCACCTTTTATCTGCTGCTCTGCTCACAAACCACAGGGACATCCACGCTCTGGTTTGCTCATGAGCCCTCCGTGCACGGTAGAGTCCAGTCCTCCTGGTCTGACATATCGGAGTCCAAACTCCTCCTGTTTGGTATTCCAGTTGTGGGAGACACCTCCGTGCTTCTCCCAGCTCCTGTGCCAAACACGTTTGGATGTATTAGTGACAGGACATACTTTCAATCTCTGGTCAGAATATGATCAACAAGTGATAATATGCTGATTGATGCTTTCACATCTCAGTCCTGCATTTGTTTGGAGCCAGCCTTTGGGTACAGGCACCAGGAATCACCTTCTCTTCACCATCTTCACCATCAGGATTTAGGCAAGGAAAAAAAGTCTTATTTCTAAGGTCTGCATTTACCTTTCAGGTTGATGTTATAACATGATGTGTGCCTGAGGAGAGCAGCAACAATGGTGACTCCTACCCCTCAGATACACTTACAGGCATACCCTACTTTGAAGATGGGTATAGCAGGGGTAAAGGTGCTGTATGTATGATTTGGCACTATAGAGATTCTTATTCCCAGTCTTCAATCCCTGGAAATCCTTAACCAAGGCTGCTGTTGCTGGTGTTCACACTCTCAGACCAGAAGCAGAGCAAGGTCTCTCTTGCAAGATACTGGTGAGGCAGTTCACACCAACAAGCAAGAGCGCAGAGATGGCTGTCCCGGCTCATCAGCATGTATAGTGTGGAGTTCCAGACAGGGTCATGGACACCCCAGGCCAACTTGTAATTGCTCAYGGTGATTTGTATGGCCCTGAGCTGAGAGATCACATGGTGAGATCCCTGACACTTGGAATTTACTACTTTTCCAAAGTTCAAAAGAAGTTCTGTCACAGATTTGCATTGCCAGACATGATCTGCTATAGTAGCGTGATCATAATCCAGATGGCCAAGATCTTGCCAGCACTGGCTTTGAAAGAAGCTTGCTCCCTTCTGCTGCTTCTCTGTACAGATGCATTTTAATACTGAGACCCCTCTAAGGCTTTGAGGTTCAGGAGCAAAGTACAAAGAACTGCTGAGAATAGCTGCTGTTTTCTCCTCATCTTCATATCAAGATCTCTCCAGAGACTGATCTTGCCCTGGAGGGAAGGGCAGGGCACATTAGCCGATGATTCCTCTTTTCCTGTGAACTTTGTTTAAATATTTAACAGAAAGAAACTAAAAATATCCCCAGTTAATGCAGCAGGAGCGAGACAGCTGCTCAGTTCTGTCGGTGTTCTTCCTCCTGACCCGTCTGCTCAGGTGTACATTATGTGATGTGGGTCCCTCCAACAGAGCGAGCACCACGCTCTTCCCTCAGAAGGTGCTGCAGGGTTCATTTCCCTTTAGTTAATCACTTGAGTTAAGCAGGAGGGGGTGGTAGTAACTCCTTGTGAGCTGTGAGTGCTTCAGAGTAGAACACGGTTTTCTCAAGCCTGGCTTTGGCAGTGCTTTTGGACTTTGTGTTGACTCCCATCCGAACTCCCCTGTCCAATGACCCCTACCTTCTCTATCCCAGGAGCCGTGGAAGGGCAGGGATGTGGGTTCCTGGTATTCATGCTTTCCTTTTCACAATGAAGGAATGAGCTGAATATCTTGAATAATTTTCGTGTGCGTGAGGTCTTTGTGGTGGCGAGAATCCCGGGTCAGGCACATAATAGCTCATCAGGGAAGGACCGAGGCTGTGCCGTGGCCTGCCAAAGGAAAGGGGCAGACAGCATGAAGGGCAGCCGGGCTGTAGCTGAACTGCGATGCCAGAGGGTGGCGTGTGGCCAGCACAGAAATCCAGCCTGGGAACCAGCTCCTGTTCTGCGTTAACCTGTGCTGCCACTGCTTCTCAGTGATGGGAGGTGGGAGAGAACTGGGGAGACAGAGAGGGCTGGAGCTCCACGGAGGACACTAACCCAAACAGGGCGTGTGAAAAGGTAATTTCATGTTTGCCAAGAGAAGTGTAAATATTAAATATTTGATAAGCATATTTTTGCTCTTAAATTCTTTAGTAAGGCTGGACTTCTCTCCCTGATTCATTCTCTCTTTCACAGTCTTCTTCATTTATCACTCTTGTATTTCCCCTCTCTCTGCCTCGCTGTGACACTCAATGAAGAGGATCTTTCTTAATAAATAGATTACATGCTCTACACTATAAATAAACACGGGAATTAAGGTCCCAACTTGTTCCAGTGATAAGCAAACAAACTCCCCTCTTGGTCCTCAGACAGGAGGGTCTCCGGAGAGACKGTGCCTGTGTCCCAGCACATGTGCCCTAGAGACCGATAGTAGTTTTCATGTGCCTGCGCTAGTGTGCGTGTTCCTGTGTGGCATTTGGGGGAGATGTGTCTCTGTACAGGAGCGTGCATGGGCACAGCAGGCTGAGGAGGGCAGATGTGCATGCGTGAGGGCACTGCACCACTCTGCCAGCTGGGGTCAAGTTTTCAAGGTGGCTGCGTACTTGCCGCAAGGRATGCGGTTAAATCTCTCTCTCTTTTTGCCTCTCAGTGAAGACCATGAGAGAGGATCCTTGCTGAGTGAAGACATTGTTGCATCCGAGATGGAGCTCAGTGCCTGGTAGGTTCACAGCTTCCCACGTCAACCGGCAACGCGAGAACAAGACGGGAGTGTGGGTGGTGGGGCTGCTCTCAGCTACTCCCAGCTTGGCCTTTTCAGCAGGAAAGGCAGCTTGGATAACTCTCTTTTTCCTTCTCCCATCCACAGCATGATGCTTCCACTGGTTTCCTGCATCCACTCATTGCAGCTGTGGCATTTCCTGCTTCTGCTCTCAGCCTTTCCTCTTCCTGCTGTCTGGTCTCTTCGTTCCCGGGGTCCCGTGGCCACTCGGCCTCTCTGTGCCCGTCGAAGTCCCTCTGCCCCTCGGCCCATTTGCATCTGGGACAGGATCTCACTGCCGGAGAGGGATCTGCGCTTCCTGCCGCGCCAGCGGTCCCTGCCCTCGCGGGGGACCGAGCTGCGGCACGTCGTGCGGCTGAGGCGCCAGGCTGGGGGGGCCCGTCCCGCCACGCCATCCGGTTTTGAGGATGGCATGCCCTCCTCCCAGTATCCCTGGGCCATTGTGTGGGGCCCCACAGTATCGGATGAGGATGGAGGAGACGCCAACTCTGCCAACCCAGGCTTCCCTCCGCTGGGTTACACCTTCGTCTCACCACACGGGATGGCAACAGCTCAGCCCAACTCCCATTCACTCCTGCACAACGCAGGCCTCAACCTGCGCGAGACCCCGGCCACGCTGCGGCCCTTCTTGTTTGGACCACGGGGTGAAGGTAAATCCCCTTTTTGCTTCTTTCGCGCCTGCCCTCACAGGCGCAGCTCTTCCTGAACAAGCTTCCCTTGCAGGAAGGCTTCCCTTGTGCAGCTGTCCTCCTCCGGGGACCGGCATGTCTCTCACGTTCCCTCTTTCCCTCCTCCCTCCCACAGGTGTGGACCCCCAACTCTACGTCACCATCACCATCTCCATCATCATTGTCCTGGTTGCCACTGGCATCATATTCAAGTTCTGGTGAGTGGGGCATGGGGCAACAGATGTTGTTTCTGACTAGTGCTCTGAGAGCACCCTTGGTGTCGGCAGGTGGGCGCAAGGGCCRTGTGCGTTGTTGGGGGAGGAAGGCCTTTGGCGTAGGGCTGCCGATCTGGTGCTGTCAGCCCTCCGGAGGTTTGGTGCATGGCTCCAGTGAGCCCCAGTCTGGGCRTGATGGAGTCCTGTGAACCCCTCTGTCACTGAGGCATGTCTGGACAGGCGCCCTGTCTCACTGCTCCTCTTTCTCCAAAGCTGGGACCGTAATCAGAAGCGCCGGCGTCACTCCGGGCAGCACAGCGGGGTCAGGCAGCAGGAGAGCCAGCAGCCCCTCACAGACCTGTCCCCCACCACTGTCAGCATTTTGGGGCCCTATAGTGACTCGCTGGCCCCCACACCGGAGACAGAAGAATGCAGACAGGGGCAGGAGAGCATGGAGAAACTGGGGGGCCACGGGAAGAGTGCTGCCTTCCAGCTCAATCGGTGAGTGCCCTCAGGGACATCAGGGGAGGGAGTGGGAGTGTGGGAGTGGCACGGGAGCAAGGGAAAGGCAGGTGAAGGAAGGGCAAGRCGATCACTCTGAGAAGTGCCCATATGGACAAAGCAGCATCGGTTAATGGGGGCTCTAGGACAGTGGAAGCATGAGCAGCTCCCATCTCTAATTCTTTTCCAATTCCATTTTCCCCCCAGAATCCCACTGGTGAACCTGTGACGCGCAAGGGAGAAGCACAGCTGGCTCCCCTCACCCTCCTCTCACAGCTGGGGAGCACATACTTCTGTCGCCTCTGCTACCCCAGGAAAAAACAATCTCCTTGTGCCATGGCCCACCACCACCATCACTAACTAACCAACCAAACCAGGACGTACCTGGGCAATGGACTAGAAGGGCCTCAGTCTCTTGCTGGGGGAAGGTTGGGGACCCCCTCTCTGAAGGACAGGATGATGAGAGAGTGGGGTGGTGGTAGGGGAGAGGAGCTGTTGATATTATGAAAGCTTAAGCTCTCCTGCCCCTCTCCTAGCACACACACACTTTGATCTCTGTAACTCTCCCACCAGTGCATGCCTGACGTTGGGGTAGGGGAAGTGGAAAGGTGTACCCCTGTCCCTGTGGGCCCAAACCCCTCTGTGTGTCCTTTTCCGTGTTGTGTGCTTTAAAGTGAACATCTGGAGTTGAGTGGCTGCAGAATTCCCTGCTGGGGCTTAGTCTCTCCTGAGCAGGGATCCAGGTGATGGCAGGTTCTTCTGTTCCCAAAGCCTTGACCTTCGGGAGGGTCCCAAGAGCGGATGAATACGGGAAAGAAGAGGCTTACACAACACCTGACCCTCCTCATCAACCCATTTCCTTGAAGGAAACATTCTCCCTACCTTTAATATTCATATCACTCTGTTTTCTTTTTGCCTAACACTTTCTTATTTTCTATTTATCAATCTGTATCTCTTTCATCTCTCAATTACCATTTTTCGTTTCTTTTTTACCCCCAATCCTCCCTCCCGCCCCCTTTTCTTGCCAGTTAAGCTTGGGGAAAAAGTTCCTTTCACTTTCCAAATCTTTTGATCTCTTGGAAGCCTCCCTGCTGTCGTTCCCCACCCCCTGTCTCCCCAGTCCCCTCTGTCTCCTTCAGCAAGTTTTTATCTCTAATCTATGGTGATGTTTTTAGGAAAATCTGAGGCAAAGCCCKTGTCATTTAGCAAGCATCCTGTACACTGGAATACTGCCAGCGCTGCTGAAGTATGACATGCAGACGTAGCCGGGTATTAGGAGCGTGGATTTTGCTGGGCTGGGGTAGGGAAGTGCTTTGAGATATTCATGTAACAGGTAACAAGCGGCAGAAGAGACTGCTCTCTGGATGATCAAGAGCAATTTGACGATGACCTCTGGGAACTTCTGGAGGGCTGCCATGAGCTGGGATGCTCATATCTGCCTCGCAGCTGGAGGCCTGCCTGGTAAAACTAACCAAGGACTTGAAAGAGAGGATATGTTCACAGCAGCCATACATAGGGTGGCAGCCTTCCTGAGCACGCTGTACTGCTAGACAGCAGGAGGAGTGGCACAGGGACGGTTGCAAACCAGTTGCTTGAGGATATGCTTAGGGGCTGTGATGGAGTGGAGCTGCATAGCTTCATTGTCAGTGCTGCTGTTACCTGTGTGAGCATGATCAGTGTATCTCAATGTCTTGCTAGATATGTACCCACAGACATCTCTCTGAGGGGGTTGGAAATAGCAGATTACAGCTTGATGGTAGTAGTTGTCCTGTCTTGGCTTTTGTGGACACCTTCAAAATAATTCACAGGTGCTGCATTGACAGTCACTAAGCTGAAATGATAAGAGACTTCAGTTGCGGTGTCCCCACACTACCCTTACACCTTCTGCTGGGCTGATACATCTGGAGAGAGGAAACCTACCCACAGTTTGAAAGACGTGATGCCCCATTCAAGGTCTATGACAAGAAGTTATCTATCATCTCAGAGAAAAGGGAACAGCCCATTCATTCTTTACCTCCATAGCAGAAGCATATTCTTTATAGAACAAAGCACAGGGAGTTGCATGAGAGGGTTGGTTCTACGCATTTACACGGGTGATCTCAGGTCCCATCTGACTCACCATGAAGGACATTTAAATAAGAGTTTAAATTGCAATAAGCTTCCCAGAAAAACAGTAGAGATATGGAGAAAATGACAGGTCTAATAAAATTACAGGTTTATTAGAATCACAAAATGTCAGAAAAACGTAGGTGCAAAAGGTCTCTGGAAGTCTCTAGCCTAAGCACAGTTTGAATTCCTGCATACAGCAGGGGATGTTACTACCTAAGGATAGGCTGACCTATTACTGAGCCTTTCCCTTGTTTCAGCTCTACTCGAGGCTTTGGATGGACGTTCAAGATAGGGACGGACAGATGTTCCACCAACACGGGGGCAGGCGGCTGCTTCTGCCCATTGCCCTGCCCACCACTGTCCCCTTCAGCTGAGGGCACGTTGGAGGTTTCCCCCGCTAACACTAGCACAACCAGAGCTGCAAAAGGACATCTGCATACAGCCTGCTAAGGGCTGCATGGTTTATTAATGGCAGTTTACAATGTAATGTCTTAAACTGGTTTAAATAATTTTCCAGACCAGATTAATTAGATTGTCCTTTGATTAGGATCATTTGTTGAAACAAGGCCAGAGTCGAGACTCTACCACCTTTAAGGGCTGTCCTTGGACTTTCCCTCTCCCGCTTTTTCATGCTGCGTGGAGAGAAGGTCTATAAGAAAGCAGTAAGGCATTGCAGGTTGCACAGTGGAAACATTTCCCAACACTTACTGCAGGGAAACCCTGAGCTCTAGCGGTCAGGCTTTTGTAAACTTTGCAAACAAACCAGATTTTGGTGTTTTGTTTTCTTTTGATGTGTCTCTCAACTAAAAGCATCGCCAGAAAGTTAAGCCACTCAGAAATGCTGTAGTAAAGGGGAAGCTGGGAAATACTACAGAGAAAGCTCCTACAGTGATGGAAGCTTGGATATAACGAACATCTTTTCCAAGCCATTTCTTTTTCTAGTCAAATATATTTTAAAACAATCCTTCACTCTCTCATGTGAAATAGGTTAGATATGGGAATCAAGCCTACTGTCCTGCCCAAACTTTCATTGCTGCATTTTCTGCCTAGAACAAAACATTAAAAACATGTTTGGACACACAAGCTTCTTCCAGTCAATAAATAATCTCACTGAATTTGTTTTCTCTATGCCTTGCTCTCCACCTTCACCTCTGTAAAAYGGAGCCCAAGCACGCCTGCAGTTTTCTTCCTTGGTCCAAGCTAATACACCATGAGATTCGCATGTGGACAGGTTGACAGCACAGAGTACAAAGCAAGAGCAAAGAGGCCAGCACCTTCTCAGTCAGAAGTTGTCAGGTTTCCCTGTCTTCCAGATGACTTGTGAAATATCTGAGTTACTTTCCCTGTGGAAAATTTAATGGGAGAGAAAGCAGGACGGGGCAACAACTGAAAATGTTTGTAAAGTTGGGCTGAGCCTGTCAAATACTTCTGGCCAATTCAAATGAGACATCCAAATGCACTGGGTGAGCCGAAATGAACTGTTTCTGCCCTGAACTCCAAAAGAGAAGAAGACAGTGGTGATCATGGAGGGGAAGAGGAGAGATGTTGTGGAACAGTCTCTCTGTTCTGACCTTCATTGCTTTCGAGCAGGAACTTGACCTTCTTTCTCTGTTTACCCRGGAGAGCTACAAGGCTGGACCCTGCTTGTGTTTTCCCGTTTGGCTTGTGATTGGCAGGCAAGGGAGCAGACCACCAACATACTTCTACACCTCTCCTCTGGTTCAGTTCACAGGGACTTAAATCCATCCAAGCATCCTATAGCTTCAGAGAGGGCTATCTACCTCTTCCTCAATGGCACCCAAGTGCCCTTGTAAATCTGGCCCTTCCATTCCCAATTTCCTTGCTATTACAGGAAAATGCTAGGAAAGGAACGTTTAGTTCCCAGAAGAAACAAGCGATCAACCTTCAGATTGTTCTGAATTAAACCATRGTTTTTGCTTCTCACTTGGAAATGCCGAGTCGGCGGCACAGCCTCGGAGCTGAATCCTGCAGCACAGAAGCCCTGGGCTAAACTCCAGCTCCCCTATCGTACCCCAGTTGATGTCTCACTGTGCTCCCGGTCCTGCCTTGGCAAGACGAGAGAGGGGCCCCCGCTTCTTTCACCGTCTGCCAGCTCTCCACTCTTTTCCCTGTTGTTCCTACTGTGTTCCAGCATCCCCCTCCTGTCCTGTACCAGTCTCCCTCACAGTTATCTCTGCCCTCCTACTGTTTTGCTCTCCCTACTCCCTTCTTGTTCTCTCTTGGCCATTCTGTCCCGTTTTGCCACTGCTSCCATCCGTCTCTCTGTTCTACTTCCTCAGTCCCTGCTCAGCCTCGCTTTTCTCCCTCCCCTGCCCTCGTGCGCTGTGATATATATTTTTGTAGGGTTTCTCTTCTCCTTGTGGTGAAATATACAATTCTTGTGGGATGTTAGTCTCAACATTTTTAAATAAACCTTTGCAAAATACTGAAAACTGAGCTTTTGCTGCTTAGAAGAGGACATAATGGAGAGGTCAAGGGTGGGAGAAGTTCTTCTACAGACACTGTGGAGTGATCAGGGCTTAAACGCTGGCATCCTGYGGCATGGCTCCGGTGGTTAGATGGGACAGTTTGATCCTGCGTCTGCCTCACCTTGGTCTCCTCGCAGGCTGACAAGCCCATACAAGTCTCCTCAAAGCTTTCCACAGGAGGCATCTCCTGCTTGAGGAGGCTGCTGGGGCCTCACRCATGCACCAACTTCTCAGCCCTAGCTGGCTGTGTTGGCACTGGAGCTGCTGTTTCCAGGCCACGTCGAGGGTCTGCACGTAACATGTCGGCTCATGCTGGGTGCCAGGAGAGCCATGAGCGGTGAGAGAAGCAGAGGGAGGGAGGCAGAGAGATGCAGGAGGAGAAACCTCTCTCACTCTGTTCCCCGCGGCTGCCTCCACGTTTTCTATTTACAGCCCTGCTGCCTCCCCTCCTGGCCGCACACACGGAGCTGCTGCTGGTTTCCAGGGCTGCTCTGTAATTAAGCATCCTTGTCTCCCAAAACTCCCCCACCTCACGAGCACTGGCAGCGATCAGCACAGGGGTGGGCAAGCAGGGAGACGCTACAGACCGTCAGCAGACACTGTCGCGGATTTTAAAGGCTGTGTTCCCTGGCAATTGCACGAGGATTACCAAGCAGTGGGGATGGCTCCCCTGCCCACTCACCGTCTGAATCCTGCTAGGCACTGGAGACGTCCTTGCTCTGCTCCTCTCCTGCTGGAGGAAGGGCCGGGCTCTCCAGCCCAGACCCGGCTTCAGACAACACTGTCCTGGGGTCTCTGCCAGCTGGAARGGCATGAAGCAAGCCTGACCCCTCCTCTAAACCAAGTCTCACTGGAAATAGTACCATGCTCTTCCTGTCCCTCCAAGTATTTTCTTGGTGCTTCTGTTAGAGGAGGGAGACCTCCTTCCTTCAGGTCTCTGCCCACTCAAGGAACCAAGTATCCAGTTACAGCTGTGCTGGGGCCCTGCTGCTGGTAGGAGCTGCACATCCAGGGAATGGGCAGGGACTGCAGGGTGCTGAAGCAGGGGCCAAGGTGCCTCCTCCTGATCTTCTGGGGGCCTCTACACATCTTCTCCAGGTCCCTTGAGTACCTGCCCACTGTAGAAGGCAGCTGTATCGCTGTGTAGGGSCTGCATCCCACTGGGAATGGGAAGTGGGTGCTCTGCCAATAATATGAAGTCCCTGGAGGTGGATCGCACACCCAGCACCACGGCAGGGCTGGCCTCCCTCCGAGCAGCTCCCCGCTCACTGGTCCTGGCCTCCGTGGGCTGGAGGKAGCCCCCGGCTCCTCAACAAGCAGGCACGTGACCAGGCCCCTGTCCTGAGGCCTGTGCTCACGAGAGGAGCAATGACATCCATTCTTGCTCCTGTGCAGAGCGCAAGGAGGAAGCCCCTTCATGCCTGTTATTATAAACAGCTTGTGAGACCCTGCTTCCAGGGCAATCTTCTCCCGTTAATTACTCAGGGAGGCTCTTGGGCTGGGCAGGCAAGAAAGACTTCACTAAAGAGAAGATAGATTCTTACGCTGCTGAAATTAAAGACTCATAAACACATCAGTACAGCAAAACATCTTACACAAACCTCATGTGCTCCTAGCCAGAGCCTCAGCTCTTGCTGAAAGATTCCCTGTCATCAGATGCTTTTTCTCTGGTGTGCTCTCAGCTGAGGCAGAGGCTGCAGGCACTCAGGCAAACACTCCTTTTCTCCACCAGGACTTGCTCCCTGACTCAAAGGAGAAGCTCTGTGAGTTGCTCCTTTTTCTTCTGGCTTTCTGACACATCACGTGCCTGGCGCAGTCCCTTTCCACGACCACTCCTTGACCCGTCCCTCCTGACTAGACTGTTCATGCTGACTTCCAGCCTGGTCCCAGCCCTGCCTCCTTCCCTCAGCCTCCATTTTCCTTCTCACTCTCCAACAAGATACTAGAACAGAGAAGCACACTGAACAATGGCAGAGAAGATGGAAGGAATCAGTGGGAACAATTAAATCAAAGAACACATAAAAACTATACAACCACAACAAAACACACAGAAATCACCCCAGCAAGGGGCTGAAAAAAAACAAGCACAAATTACTGCTGACCCCTATGATTTCCTGTGAAMGAGAACACTTTAGAAAAAGACAGTCAAAGAGGCTCCCAAAGCTGGAGTTCCCCTGAGCTAAGGGCCTTCTCTAACCTGGCAGCAAACTGTCCCACTATAAAAAAAATCAGGCAACCGCCTATTGGACGTGGCTGTCAATACGRATGTTCGGCAGTGAGCTAGAGCATTCCCTTGTCTGCTCTAGAAGAACAAGGAACTTCTCGAAAATTGGCATTCCTGGGCTGGGAATTAGGGCTCCATGCACCCTGGCTCTGCACTCAGATGACTGCCCACCCCTGGTGGTTATTGACATTATGTGTTACCTTTGCAACACGCTCCTGTATGGGAGAACCGGCCCAAGACTGCAGGCACCAGGACGGTGATGAGAAAGTGCCTGTGGAGCTGCTGGGCTTCCCGGAGCTCCCTGGGCCTGCAGTGTGTTTGGGTCGGGCAGCGCCRGATGAGCTGTGCTCCTTCAGGGGTAAGCCTAGGTGCAAGGGGGACAGCTTAAGTTAGAGATACCTCCTGCACCCTACGGAAGGGATGTGACTTTGTAGGTAGCAGTTTATTTAGGAGCAATGCAAAACCGCAAATTGCTTTGAAGAATAATCCTGAAACAAGCAACCACTCATTTTGGTGTCTTATAATGGAGCAGAGTTGTTCCCTTGGTTCGCCCTTGTTTTGATCCTCAGAGGCAGAACTGAGTCTCTATTGGGGGCTGCTTTGTCTCTAAGCGCACATCATGCTCAGATGAATAACAGACCATTCAGTGATGCCTTCCACACTGATCCAGAGCCCAGCGTGCTCAGGGAGCGACAGAATAAAAGCAAATCCATCTTCAATTTCACATCAATCCCCACAAGGAATCTGGYGAGGGAAAATGTGCCATTCTCTGCTCTGGGGATCTGCCTTGCATCGCTGTGGCTCCTGGTCAGAGCTCCAGTGACAGCAAAGAAGCTGCTTTAGGGCAGCCAGTCTAGCTCAAGGCCCCAGGTTCCTTGATGGCTGGAGAGGTTCAACAAAYCAGCCCAGGGTGACTCATTTTCTGAATGCCAGAGGGACATTGTTTAATGTCTGCAGCAGGCACCACTCAAGTCTGCACTACAGCCTGCCCTGGTGGAAGAGATGGTTGATTTCCCAGTTAGGTTGCCTAAGGAAGGATGCCAGAATAAGCTCTCTGATCTTCTCTTGCATCATCTGAGCCTTGGTAAAGTGACCCAGAAAGCAGGAGCTTTCTGAGTCCTTCCTAACCCAAGGGACAGTCTGTAAAACGTATCTTCTGTTAGGAGCAGGGGACCCGGCCTAGCCAAGCTGGTGCACTGTGAACACATGTGGGCCTAGCTGAATGCATTCACCAACCAAAGCATCAGTGCAATGGTCAGACACACCCACAGTGGAGGCTTGGGCCAGTGTCATTAGACTGATTTGGAACCATTCAGCCACACCACGGCGTTATTTAAGCCTGAAATGTTTCCCGTCTTATGTGTGTGGGTTTTTTTTTTCCTGCTTTGCTAGTTCCTTTCTTGTGTGACATATTGCATGTGAATAAATACCACACAAATGAGGTCAGAGATTCAGCTTAGCATTATCCCATGTTTGCTGGATGCACAGCAGAAACTGTAAGAAGAGGTGCAGAGGCGTTATTCACTCCTCTAGAACAAGATTTCTCTTTTGCTTGGCCTCAGGCCTTCCATGGCAAAATGGAGGATGGAAAAAACTGTCCTGGCCAAATGCAGGTTACTGGCAGCTACTTGGGTTGGCCCCTTGCTTGTAGATAACTACTAACATGGTGCAGCAATTGTGGGTGCAGCAAATGTGGAGGGAGAGGTTTTCCCATGTTAAAGAGGAGGATAGGGATGAAATAACAGAACTGAGAATAGGCTTTTGGTGACAGCTCTTTTCTGGTGCCCAGGCATTACAGCAAAGGGAAACAAACAGCCTAACATA